GCCTCTCGCGATTGCTGTTGTTATTATTATGACTGTGCTCGTGTGTCGTGTCGTGGTTGGGTGGTGTGCATTGCTGACATTCCAGGCGAATGGTCGGCGCAGCCGAGTGGCCTTGCCCAGCAGGTGGGGTCCACAGTGCGCCGACTACTGGTTGCTGTGGCGGCGCACGCTGCCGCGGAGCAGGCTGGTCGGCGTGCTGGCCAAGTGGGTCAACCTGTGTCCGGCCCTGCTGGGCCTCGCCAAGCCCTTGGAGGCTCTCAAGCAGCACCTGCGCGCCAAGGCCGGCCTCCAGCCCGATGACCTCACACTGCTGCTGGACGTCGTTTCCGAGCAAGCCAAGAGAACGAAAACGAGAGCAAAAGCGAAGAAGAACGAACCAGCAACCAAAACGAGAGCGAAGAAGAACGAACCAGCAACGAAAACGACGCGCGTGGCGATGACCAACAGCGCCAGGAAGCCGAACGCCAGACAGACGATTACGACGGAGAGGAGAAACCAACGAGCCGCGGAGAAACGGGCGTCGAGGGTCGGCAAACGCAAGAAGGATGAAGTGGATGAGGACGGCGATGGGTCGGGGCTGGTGGGCGACTTCCTCGCGGCTCACCCGCACGACATTGCTGTGGCTCTGACTGCGCGCCACTGGGCGATCTTCGGCCCGATCCCACTGCTCGACCTCGTGGGCACGTACCTGACGAGCTCTGTGTCGTGTGTCGTGTTGTGAGGCGCTGACCGACCCCTGTCCTGACAGGAAAGTCAAGCTGTGTCGAGGCCGAAGTACCGGCCATCAAGCAATTAGGCGAAGAATCCTCTCAGGTGCTGCAGACGTGTGGCGTGTGGCGTGCGGCGTGCGGCGTGTGGCGTGTGTGTCGTACTCAACCTGTCGCGCTGTAGTTGAGGCGAGCGATCACGGTGACCATCGCATCGCTGGCCAGGGCCAAGCTCAAGGCGCGGGTGTACAAGAAGTGGGTCAAGGTGGCTTGGGTACTTGGTCTCCACTTGGCTCTCACCCACCCAAACACCAAACAGCGAAACTAAGCGGCTTTCCTTGTGGTGCCACACGCACACGCACACGCACAAAATAGAAGCTGCGGCTGCTCAACAATTTTGAGTTCATGCTCCATGTCATGGATGCGCTTGAGTCCACCCGTTTGGAAAAGGCCCAGCCTGATTGGGAGGTACGCTCAGCCTCCACGCCCCTCCCCCCCCCGGAGGGAGAAATCAGCCGATCTCGTGACTGCTGACTTTCTATTCACTGTTGTGGGTGGTGGTGGGTCACCACGACGCAGTCGGCGCAGCATACGTTCGCGCACTTCAAAGAGATGAAATGTATGATGGCTTCACGGCTTGACCGCAGACGCGGCGTTGGGCCTGAGTACCGGGAGGCATTGGCCCAAGCGCAGCCTCCCTGCATTCCCTTCCTGAGTACTCCCTTCCCCCCCCCCGACAGACGCCTCTTGGGGCCTGGTGATAGTGGCCTGATGACGACGCTGGTGGTGCGTGGTGCGTGTGTGGTGCGTGTGTACTAGGACGTCTCCTGACAGACCTGGATAATGGTGGCCAAGTCATGGGCGTGCAGGCCAGGGTGCGCTTTGATGCGTGGCGTTGGCGCAGACCACACCTGGCCTTCGTGTTGTACGTTCTCCTCTCTCGTTAAGCGCTCTTCTTCCTTCGCGCGGGTCCAGCTCCCACACAGCTGGGCGTTGGAAGCTTATGATCAGCCAATGTCGTGTGCAACAACACAGACGCATCAAGACCGGGTCGCCCCCTGCGGCCAATGAAGAGAGCCAGCGGCTCGTTTCCCGGCTGCTGGCACTTGGGGGACCCCGGCGAAGAGGAGGGCAAGGGCAGAGAACGAGCGACACCTTGGCTTTCTTCCACGAACTAGAAAGACAAGGCCTGATTTGAGCACTTGTTCATTGCCGTGTGCAACTGACTGAATATGGTGTGGGGTTGAACATGAACTGTGAGGGCAGCATGTTGGCCACTGAGGATGGAATTGATGGAGGGTATGAAAGCAAAAGCACTGACACAAAACAAGCAAAGGCAAGATACTTCCCATCAACAGTTCAGCAACAGTTCTACATTGCCATTGCTCTACATCTCAGCACAAGCGGTAGCAATCTGGGTGACAGCCACCACCAGCTGCCATACTCGACATTCGCTGCATCTATAACGGGCCTTTGCCGCATGGGTGTACTGGAGCGCAGCTCGACATTCAATCGTTTGTTGATGCGTGAAGTAAAATTATTGGTACTTTTATTGTTCAGGGGAGTGGACGCGCCGTATGTCGATGAAGGCGAAGGGTCGGCGGCAGGTGGGACACGCCGCTTGTTTCTGCGCTTGCTGCTGCTGCTGCTGTCGAATGGCCCGAAGCGCACACGAGCGGCAGCATCGGTGGTCACAGGGCAGCGCCACCGCGAGCTCGGGCGGCTGCGTTCCGCACACCACGCACACGGATCGCTCTCCTTCCTGTTGTAGACACGCGGTCGGCACGACACGACCTTCCTCCACGATCTCTTCCTCCTCGCCTCGTTCTTCTCGCGGCCTCCTTTTCTTGGGCTCGTCTTCGTCACCGCCGTCAACTTCGTCGTCGATCGTGATCGTTACTTGTTGTTTCTGTTCCTCTTGTTGGTCGTCGTCTTCGTCGTCGTCGCTGCCCAACGTGATGACTTCGTTCCCCTGCCGGTCCCTCGTGACGGTGTATCTCGTCATGGGTGCCCATGGCGATGATGTCGATGTCGATGATGTCGGTGTAGTGGCAGACGATGGAGACGCCGTGCGTCGTGCCGTGCTTTGCTTGTTGTCGTCCGCTCGTGGCTGCTTTCTATCTACGCGTTCGTCTTCGTCGTCGTCGCTGATCATACGTTGCCGCTTGTGCCGCGTGGTAGTGGTGGTTGCGTTCAGCCGCTGCTCAAGCGCTGCGCCCAAGGCCGAAGCCGCAGGGTCAACCACCGCGGGCACGCCGCGACGGTATTGCTGCTCATGTAAATGGCTGAGATACGCCAATACGTGCGATTGGCGTTCTGCACATCGTGTGTGTGTGTGTGTGTGTGTGTGTGTGCGTGCGTGCGTGTGTGCGTGCGTGCGTGCGTGCGTGCGTGCATGCGTGCGTGCGTGCGTTAATGCGGACATTGAAAGTTGCAGCTCGCGGAGCGGCGGGGTTACCTGGAGGCAGTTGGTAGGTGTAAGCGAACCGGTATATCTCGTAGCGCAGCGAGCTGTGCTCCACCAGGTCCTCCCGCTTTAACGGCAGACCCTTTAAAAACGCGCACCTCATCAGCGACTAGACTGCCTCACTTGGCCCAAGCTGGCGAGACTGCTTGAAGACAGAACCGTACCGTGAACGGGTCGGTCAAGTGGTTCCGCAGGTGCCGCTCGACTGGTGTGTACAACGATCAGAAAAACAGTCAGGTCGAGTGGTCAGATTGGGGGTTGTGGAGAGGGGGGAGGGCGAGAGCGCAACTGGTGGTCCGGTCGACGGCGTTGCCGGAGGGCAGGAGGACCGGGTCCTGCATGGCCTCGCACGTGATGGGGTCGAGGAAGTGGGCCGGCAGCGCGTCGGCGGGGATCCGCCGGAGCTTCTCCAGCCACTCCTGCTGCACACTCTACGCGCCACCTTGATCAGCGTCGCACACAAACGACAACGACACACCCGACTCACACAGGTCACATACTGGCTGAGGTGGCCGTTCGAGGGCGATGCGCGGCGGTTGAGGCTCGGGCTTGAGCGCAGACAGGCGTGTGTGGACGCGGGTGAGCGTGGCTTTGTCGCACGAGGCCGCGGGCTGGCCCCAGACTTCGAGGCCGGCCAACCCCACGTAGCCGCTGTGCTCCACTGCTCACGCGTTAGAAAAGTGAGTCGTGTCGCGGGCGCGTCGTTTGTGCGTACTTTTCTTGATGGTGATCTTGAGCTTCTTGACCTTGGCCAGCGCGTAGGCCGACCTGTCGATGCGAATCCGCGACCTGTCCGGCAGTCCGGGCGACCTGCCCAATATATATTTTCAATATTTTTCTCATACATTTGCCTGACCACACGATGTGGTGGAGGTACCTGCTGGGTGGGAGGTCTTGCCAGTCCAACGCGCGGCCCCGAAACCCGGGGTTGTAGAACAGCACGGCACTGGCCTGCCAAGGAGGTAACAACAGCGCACAGCCGGTCGGTCACCACATCAGGCAACAACCACAGGAAAGCAGGGGAACGTGGCGTACGGAGTCGTGGTCGGGTGGTGTGAGCTTCGTGTGCAGATCGCCATACGAGCCGAGATACTTCCATTCGCCCTCTTGGTTTAGTTATGGTCCCAATTGGTTGTTAGCCACATCAGCCAACACAAACGTTATTGATGTGTTGCTAAATAAAACAACGTGCACGCACCAGCGCCGGGAGCAGCAAAGGGAGCGACTTCGACCGAGACTACCTGCACCACTTGCGAGCTCACCTTGGGTCGCAGCATCACACACGCCACGTTCACCTTCCCCCACACGAAACAATCAATTATTTGTGTTAATAATAATATATTTCATTTTATGACATTTATTATTTGTAAAATAAATATAGCAAATAAATAGATGCAGGGGTGCACCTCGTGTGGAAAGGTGAGGGTGAGATGCACGGGTGTACGGACGAAGGTGGCGCAGATGAAAGAGGAGGCAGCAGCGCCAAACGGAGCTGGGGAGAAGGGACGAGCTTGCGCGCCAGGCGTGGCAGGGTGGGGCAGGAGCAGGGTGGCCACGTCGTGGCCATCCATCGCCACCGCTGAGCATTCAATCTCAGCCCCTAATTCACGCGTGGCAAAGTTCCACTCCATCTCTGTGGTGCGGTCTGTTTGTTGTTGGTTTTTTTTTTTTCATTTTTTTGTTATCCGCACCACCAAACACTCTGCGCACGACCAGTCACGTGATGACTCAATGCCGTCGGCTACGGCCGAAGGGTCCGTAGTTGCCGATGCGAGAGGTTGGCGGGAGGAGGAAGAGGATGTGTGGTGCACATGCATCATCAGATGTTGGATACGGCCATACTGCGCAGAAAGCACCGCTTCCCATCCGAACAGCGAAGTTAAGCTGCGCCAGGCGGTGTTAGTACTGGGGTGGGCGACCACCCGGGAATCCACCGTGCCGTATCCTTTTGCCCTTCTCATGATCTTTCATTTTTGATCTTCGCATCATCATTGTGGGCGACCACCCGGGAATCCACCGTGCTGTATCCTTTTTGCTTGTTCCTCCTGTAGGACACAAGGGAGGATCTCATCACCGCCATCAGCCTTTCTACCTCCTCAAGGCTGGTCGGGCAAACATTCGAGTTGTACGTGCAAGTCCCCGTTTGGGTGACAAAATCATAATAAATAAATAAATGGCCCTTGCGGCGCGGTTCGGTCAAAGAGTGTTTGCGTCGCTGCCTGGGTGTTCACTGCTGGTACCAATCGGAGAGCGGGGTGAAGGGTCGACCCTCTCCCTTGAACGGTACCAGGTGCGCCCACGAGTTGCCCACAATCTGGCGATGCAACACGACACACGCGACACCAACTATGTCACATGACCATTTCCTTCTGGTATGTGGTAGGGTGGATTGCGCACCTTCTCGGTGGCGATGATGTTGACGCCCTCGGCGAGCGCCTGCGTCCACCGCGATTCGCTCGTGGCCGCCCATCCTCGCGTGATCTTGCCTGCGTGTTTGCAAGCGCGCATGTAAGCACACGTACCGCGAACCTTCATCATGACACGACACGACCAACGACACGACACGACACGACACAACACGACACGACACGACACGACACGACACGACACGACACGACACGACACGACACGACACGACACGACACGACACGACACGTATGCGTGGAGGGTCTCTTCCATACCGCGTTTCTGGGCTTCGCGCACCAGCTCCCACGAGGTCTGGGAGATCCAGCCGTTGATGGGTATGTTCAGGAAGTGGCGAGCCTTGAAACGGGTCAGATCCACGCTCGGCTGGGTAAGCGACCTGGTGAACCACACACGCACGCACGCACGCACCACACACACACACACACACACACACACACACACACACACACACACACACACACACACACACACAGGGCCGCCATGACAGCGTGAGCGGGTGCGAATCAACTCTCGCAAGAGCGAGAGAGGCAGGCCAAGTGTCGCGTGGTACCGTTGGTCGATGTCGACAAAGGCGTACTTGCCGGTGGTTTCGTAGACGCTCTGTCGCGACTTGGTCGACTCCTCGAATCCACGGCCGGACAGCACGAATATGAACTTCTCTCTGAGCTCACCCAGCGTGGGCCAATCATGCTAAAGTTTACAACGCCCATGACGCGACACGACACACACGACACACACGAGCTCAGCGTGGTGGTCGGGGCCAGGAAGAGTGAGGTGCGTACGTCAGGCCGTTTCTTCAGCTGGGTGGGGGTGTAGATGTTGGCCGCGCCGATCTCCTGCTCGAGGATCGAGTCGAACAGAGTGGTGAATTGGCTGTCGGTGCCGAACATGGCGTTGGGCTGCATGTCCAGCCAGACCAGCACCACGTGGTGGCCCTTGTGATGCGTCGAATAACCTAATATCGATCGTCACCATGCAATCATTAGCATGCGCGTGCGTGTTGCGTGTTGCGGAGAGGCGTGTGCGGAGAGGCGTGTGCGGTCGTGCGTACTCTTGAGTTCCTTGAGAACGACCTCGAGCGTGGCGACACGGTCGCTGGGAGGGAGAACGTTGTTAGGAGGAATGTTGAGAATGTATGAAAGTGAGAGATTGTGGCGGTAGTGGTAGGTGTACTGGTAGGTGCCCAGGTGGGACACGCCGAGGGCGTCGGCCTCGGGCGACTGGACAAGATCGAGTTCGACGCTGTGGCACGCCCACTCAAGCGGGGACAGGGAGAGCTGCAAGTAGAGCGGAATCGACAGGCGGAGACTGTTGTGGCTGCCCTTCATTTGCACCTGCACACGGCGCACCACGCGATGAGACATTGCATACGCCACACAGCACTCACGACGACACGACACGACACACGGTGCACGGCAACATCTGCAGAACACAGAGACAGCGCAAGTGGGGTGGGAAGGAGGTGCCTTGTTGAGGGGCAGTGCATCCAGCAGCGCGTCCGGACCCAGCGTGGCTGCAATGGCAAAGGTCAGAAAAAATGAAGGAAATAAAATAAATATATTATTAAAAAAACGAATAAATAACAAAATAAATAGAAAGGAGGGGAGTGGAGGAGGTTGTTACTGGTGTTGGTGTGGGGCGGCACGACGTAGGGTCGGTACTCTTCGGAGCTGTGGTTGTCGGAGCTGTTTCGTTTATTCCCAATTTAAATGGAAAAATCGTGAGTGGAGCTGCAGATGATGAACGCGAACGCAGAAGGAAACGCTTAAGATAAGAGCAAGAGGAAGGTAGCGTACATGTAGAGGTAGGAGCAAAGGATGGCGGTGGCGAGCATCAGGCCCACAGGAATGATCCAAACTCTCCACTTCGAAACGGGTGGCCCACCTCCCGGTGCCGAATATCGTGAACCCAACGTAGAACGTTTCGTGCTTCCCCACATGTCCGCGTTGCAAGTCGTGCTCTCGCTTGTGCTTCGATTGTTTTTTTGATTTATTTATCTCTCACCTAATTATTTGTGTTTACCTCCGTTTTTACCATTTCTTCGTTCCTTTTCTCGGTCATTTTCTCATAGGTCGTTTCTCTTTTTTCCGCAGCACGCAACACTCAACACGACACGCACACAGCTGTTGCAACAACACGCAAGCAGTGAAGAGGTTTGCTTCAAACAACCAATCACATGGCCGGTGTACACTCAAGGAGGTCAGACCTAGGTCGAGGCCAGCACGAGCGAGGTTCGCTTGATGACGATCACGTTCCTTGGCTTCTGTGGCCCACCATCGCCGCCGATGGTGGCGTCGCTCTCGGTCGGCGGCTTGGCGGCTTCCGGCTGCGCAGTCGTTGGCGGTTGACGATCGACCACTTCCCACTTGAGGCCCATGGGCAGCCCTTCGTAGTCGGCTTCAAGTTCGTCGATACCGTCGTCATCGTCTTCATCGCCCTCGTCGTCATCATCAAAGAGCACCGCCGCTAGGTCCTCATCGTCGTCGTCGCTGTCCTCGTCGCCCGTGATCTCGTTCTCGGCATCCTGCTCCTCTTCCTCCTCGGCCACTTCCATGTACTCTAGTCCGTCGTCATCGCCTACAACGACGTCGTCGTTCGCCGGGGTCGCCGTAGCTGACGCCTTCGTCGCGCGTTGTCGCTGGCGCAACCCGCGCGGCTGCTTCTTGCCGCTCTCGTGCCTGCGGAGCGCGGGCGGAAGCGGGGGAGCGAGGAGGTGTTGAGCGCCGACGCCCTTGCCGCGGCCCTTGCCTCTGCCTTTGCCGCCTCCAGCTTTGCCGCCACCTCCGCCCTTGCCGCGATTTGGCGGTCGAGCGCCCCCGCCGCTGACCTTCTTCCGCTTGCGCGCGCTGGCGGCCGACTTGGACGCTGACGGCGCACCGGGCGTGAACAGGTCCTCGTCGTCGTCGCCGTCGTCGTCTTCATCGTCGTCGTCCAGGACATTGTAGCCGGCGTCTTCGTAGTACGCGAATCGACCGGAGCCGCTCGGTACCGAGCCAAAGCCCGGACCCATCGCGGCGAACTCTCCGCCGCCGCCGTCATCTTCGTCGTCATCGTCGCTGCTGCCGCCGCCGCCATCAGCGCCGGCCTTCGCGGGTTGAGGCCGTGGCGGCGGTTGCCACGAGCGCCCGTTGATGAGGTAGTCGTTGACGTAGGTGTCCTTGGCCAGCGCAAAGTTCTGCTTAAGAAACTGCTTGCGCTCAGCCGCGTCGGGCTCTGGCGTCGGTGCTAGCGTGGTCGTGGTCGACGTTAAGTTAGTGGAGGACGATGATGGCGGCGGACCCACGGCGTCGCTCTTGGTGATGGGCAGCAGGGCCGCCAGGGAGCTGATGACCTGCGACATGTGCGCCCGCGCGTTGCCTGCGGCTCGCGCACTCGTGGGCAGCACCTGGGGTTTACCACCACCACCACCGATAGAGGCAGCACCGGTCGAGTCCTTCGCCGCGTGATCGATTGCTGCATCGCTCTTGCCGAGTCCCGAGGCCACTGCGGCAGGCGCGGCCGTAGCCGCGGCAGCGCCGCCCCGTCCCCGACGCAGGCGCTGCTTGCGCTCCTTCTCGAGCTTGGGTGCCAAATAGCGCCGCCGCTCGACCAGCTCTTGCTCGAAGTGACGGAACGCAAATGTTTCATCTGACGTGTCCTCCTGCCATCGTGCGTTGTACAACATGGGTCGTTAGGTTGTGGTTGATTGCGATTGGTTGTGGTTTAAAGTGGTGGTTGTTTACCTCGCTCGATGACCCATCGCCGGTCGCTGCTGCGCTGGGCGGGTCTTCGTCTTCGGCCAGAAGGCGCCAGGTGGGCGTGTAGATGCTCTCGGTGCGCAGGTGCTCGGTGGTGATCACGGTCGAATTGCCGAGGCTCACGTAGTTGTTGATGTCAAAGTCGCTCGATCGCAGGTTGGAGTACTTTCGTTTCTTCTTCTTGGCCGGCCCCTTCGCAGCCTGCTGGGGCTTGGCTAAAGCCTTGGAGCTCACTGCGCGCACAACTTCACCCCCCGCGCGTTAGCGACCTAGCGTGTCGCCACAAATCAATAAACTGCGTGGCGTTGGTGCGTACCTGGAGGAGGTCGTCGATCAACGGCCTTACCCCGGCCAGCGGTGGGCGTGGGCCGACTAGCAAGAGGCTCGACTTTAGGCGGCGGCGGGCGGTCGATCACTTCGATCGGTTCTCTCTCCTCTCGTCTCCTCTTCTTGCTTATGCTCGCGTTGTTGGGCTTGGCGCCGTCCGTCTGCTTTGGTGCTGCTGTGACGCAGCAACCACTGCGGGAGTCTTCCCAGCAGCAGCAGCAACGGCAACGGCAGCAGCGTCGACGGGCACGGAGCTCCGCTCGAGATCAGGAGCGCCGTCGACCGCACCCGTGGCCGCCAGGGGCGTGGCCGGCTGGTCGGCGGCCTGAGACGGTCGCCTGTTTGCATAGAGCCCTGTGCGACCACAGACCACTGTGAGCATCATCTACGAGCACCGTATGGGCCATGCTCGAAGAGAAAGCGCACGCACGCACGCACAGAGAGAGAGAGAGCAAGCGACGGGGCCGAACCAGGGAATGGAGAGGAGAAGAGCGGATGTGGCGCGTCGTCGTCGAACTGCGGCAGCGGCGGTGGCTTGTACTTGTTGGGCACACGTGGCCGCGACAGCTTGCGATGGCGCGTGGGTGGCACGAGTCCCATCGTGCGCAGGCAGGAAGACGGCGGCGACGAGGGATTCAACGTTAAGCCTTGAGCGTTGTCGCCGTTGCTGTCGCTGTCCCCGACCAGCGGCACCACGCGCTGCCGCGAGCGTCGCTTGCGGTCGAGCCGGTCCTCCCAGTCGCGCGACTGTCGGTTGAGCTCAGCGATCTGCAGCTGCAGCCACGTCCAGCGCCAGGCCATGTCGCAGCGCTCCCGCTCCCATCCACGGCGCAACCGCCTTCGCGTGTGTAACAACATACACCCAGGGGTACGCCACACGTAGAGGATGGCCACACCACATGACACACCACGACAGATCAAACCAGAACACGTCAGCAAGGAGCCCAGCGCTCGACGTCGATGAGAGATGCACAGGAAAGGGGAGGAGAAGAGCGTACATCTCCACAGCAAAGGGGTCGTGGTCGGTGTTGCCCCTGTCGATGGGCAGTGGCGTAGCGGCAGCCTCTTCCTTCTCTTTGTTCGGGTTCGTGCTCGTAGGTGCGGGTGCCGCTACTTCGTGTTCTGCTTCTTCCTGATCTGATGAGCTGCTTTCGGTTTCCTCTTGCTGTGGCCGACGCCAGTCTCTACGCGAACCGCCAAGGGCTGCTCTTCCACCTTTGCCGTTCGCGTTGCCATTCCATCCATTGGCAGTGCTGCTAGATGCTGCCTTCGGGCCGCGCTTGCCCTGTCTCCCTTTGAGAGGAGCAGAGACGAAAGTGGAGAAGGAGGTCGTTGTAGAGGAGGTGAAATTCTCCATCGTGATTTCAGGAAATGATGACGATTGCGTAGCGGCGTGTCGCGAGTTGGGCAGAGATGAGGCGTAATGGGAATATGCAGGAGCTCCCGAGGCAGATGGTGTCAAATCGTGACAACAGCCACAAGGGGGGAGCAGAGGCGAAACGGCGGACGTTGTCGGGTGGCCATTCGATGGCGGAGCATAGTTGCCGTTTAGCCTATCCGTTGGGAACCCCATCGATTGTGCGAAAGGAATTGAGTTGTAATAACCCATCTCGGGGCTGACTAAACCCATTGGAACGGGCGGTGGGCCAGCACCACTCATCTTCGCCTCGATGATTCAATGGCCTCCTTTATGTCCAGAATTTCTCATGCGTTCCTTGATTTTCTTTCTGCTTTAACAGTTGCCTAGGTAACTCAACACCCACGTGGAATTCAATTAGCGCAGCTAACAGCACACAAGCTGCAAGAGTTGCAACAAGTATAACATGTTTGTGGGAAGCACCTTCAACCTTTTGTTGCTCCTTCTAGATCCACTCCACATTGAAGGCTTGTACAAGCCAGCTCCACAATTTTTATATTAGGCAACCCAGGCAGTTGTAAAAGGTGTGCTCACTGCATTGGTTGGTTTCACATTACAAACATTAGGAGTTCAGACTGCCACCACACACCTGCCAAACACCAACACCTTCCTTTCCCACTTCCAAGAAGGAGTTGAACAGAAGATGCAGGTGAACCTGGTTGTTGCCTTTGTAGTTCCTCCACTTTTCTGCAAATAGGCAGATAATATGGCGAATTACTGGGTGATTACCCGCGTGTTCCTAGTATTCGTCGACATCGCGTGGGGTTCGGCTCATTTTCGCAGCACCGCATTTCAAGGTGCACAAAACGCGAAGCTTTGGTGTTCGTGATTATTCGGGATCAGATGATGGCATGTGACGCACGGCGAAGGATGTGCGTTTTCGGGGAGCACTCGCGGCGATAGGTATTTAAGGCT